TATGTATGAAAGTGTGAGCACCCTAGAGAAGATGATCAGATCCCAAAAGAGATTACCTAATTGGTTCTCTGAGACGTACAACACATGCCTCCCATGACAAAGTTGAACGTCATGGGAGAAGCTCTTACATGGATGAACCATCCATCATGTATGAAAGTGTGAGCACCTCAGAAAAGATGATCGGATCCCAAAAATGATTACCTTATTGATTTTTCAAGGCGTACAACACATGTTTCTCATGACGAAACTAAACGTCATGGGAGAAGTGAAAACGATATTGAAAAACATGTTTAAAGTTCTATTTGTTCTCAAGATTAATCATGTCTGAAATGTTTAAAGGATCATCTTTGGAGGTCATCATATTTACTTCAGTTACACTTCCAAGTTATATTGTTTAAGTTATGAACCTTATTAAGGTCCCAACACTTGCAAGTTATATTGTTTAAGTTATGCACCTTATTGAGGTCCCAACATTTGCAAGCTGAATTGTGTTTGTTATGCACATTATTGAAGTCCTAGTTCAATTATCGAAGACATGAAAACCAAAAAACATTCACTTCATTGATAAAGAAATCCGTGTAAAGAAGGGCCTCAGCCATTATATAGAAAATAAAATGGAAATCCTATACTATGTTGGAGGTGGCAAAGAGTCGACACCTCAGTAGTAGGTGCTTCAGTAGTCGAAGCTTCTTGTCCTGAAGTTTCATCTTCAAGAGCATCATCTTGGTCAGCTTCTGTGCCTTCAACTTCAACCGCATCTTCAGCAGTGGTCTAAGGCACCTCGTCGAAGAACTCTTCTTTCTATTCAACAATATTAAGTTCTAGATAAAGCTCCCTTACCCTAGCCACCACTTCGACATATGTAAACCTCCTACAATAGGTACAGAAGCACTAGTACTCCTCCATTAAGTGGAAGTTGGCGATGTAGTCTTTCACCGCCTCTACACCTGCTTTCTAAACACCAGCCTTGGCCTATTTAGCCTCCTACACATAATGCCTTATTCGGGTCTCCAAAAACCCATTCACGTCCTTGAGCCAAACATTTTCTAAGTTGGCCTTCTCTAGAGATTCGGCCATTAGCTTCTGATGATTGTTTGAAGTTTCAACCTTCTTTGTCAAGGAAGCCACTTCGCACTAGGATTTTTGAACTTCTCTCTTCATAGTTTCGATCTCTGCCAAGCCAGAATCCAACTTAGCTGTCTCTTTAGTTCACTGGGCCATCGGCTCTTTACCTTTATCTTTTATTCTTTTCACTTCTTCCTCTGCAGACGTCAACTTTTCAATCAACTCCCAATTGTGCGTCTGAATATCCTTCAGTACTTTTTGGCATTCCAGGGCTACCACAAAAGCCCTGACACTTTGGCTCACCAAGGTAGCCGTCAGATCTAACACATCATTGGTGGAGACATAATTTTGCTACCTCTCGTCCAAAACTTGTAAAAATTTACAGTGGTACCATGGACCTCAGGAGGCATCATGTCTATCACTGTTGGGGCAATCTCTTCATCTTGCCCAACCAAAAGTCTTCCCGACTTTCCAAGAGTCCTTACCACTGGAGCTTCTTCACGGCCTCAGAGGTCTGGTCTACTTTATTCGCAACCTCTTCATCGACCATTGGACATTTTTTTCTTTTGTGGCCCCTCAACCTTTCCCTTGCCCTTGTCAACCTTCTGGGCCTTTTTTCCTCACTCCTCTCAGAATGTTCTTTGCTAAGGCGTTCCAATTTTAGCCTGACATACTTGGCACCTCCGGATGATGGCTTTAAAGCCGGAGAGCTCACTATGGAAATGGCCCCCAATATAGAAGCCATGTTAGGAGTGGGGCACTTTTTTCTCCCACAGTCATTTGCAAATAACAAAGACATTTTTCAAATCCATCCAATCAATCCAAAGTCAATGAGCATCTACATGGTCCATCGATATTTACCTTTTGAAGCCATTAATCTAAAGTTAAGGAAGAACTTGCTATGATCAATTAGACAATCGAAGTAGTGTAACCTCTGAGGATGATGTCCCACTCAACTTGGGAGAGTTCGAAGCGAATCCCTGAAATTGCAAATCAAAGAGCATCGACAAAGTTATAAAAAAAAAGTTTCAAAAAGAAAAACTCCCAGGCTTCGGAGTACTGGGTCGGCCTAGTACAAGTTGGGGCCTTATCTCCCTTAACCATCTGCCACTTACCCGTGACCCATAATCATGACTCTTTCCACCCTCTTATGGAAGATGGTAGACCTACTACAAAAAACCCCATAAGGAGTCATATAAGACCACCTCTTAGACTCCCCTTTCCCAAGTACCTGAGGTTGGAAAAGAGTCTGGAAGACATGAAGGGACATATCCTCTCCAAGCGAGGTCTCTTTCCAGAGAAAGCTCGCCCAACCAACTAGCTCCACCCATTTGGCAATAATTGGGAAGGAGCCAACATATAAGGCCTCATCACCGTACTATAAAATGGGTGTAGAGATAGATGCATACCTGCCCTAAACAAAAATTCGCTAATTGCCACACAACCTAGCCTTGGATAACAGGCACGTTTGTAGGCATCTGGTTCTAAAAGTTCTATAGAATCTGGGATTCTATATTTCTCCCTAAGTTCAACTAATTTGGTAGAATTCATAGCATAAGAGATTTTTGCAGCCCCTACCCCGCCTCACAATTAATGGGACCTTCACCCATGGCCCAAAAACCTCCATCCGATCGTCCAAACATGGCTTGCTCCCCAACCCTGGCAATGGTTACCCTCCCACTACTAACACTGGACCCAAAAGCTATTAAAATTAAAAAAAATATGGAATGAAGGATGGGAATACAGAGAAATTATATAAACAAAAAGAAGCTCAAAGAACGTTACATCGCCAGAGAACGGAAATAACCAAAAAAGTTTTTTGAATGCTAGAGAGTTGAAGAATTTTACAAAGGTCAAGAAATTATACAATGGCAGGTTTTTTGATTTTATAGAAAGAGAAGACGAAGCCCAGCTATTGGATCTAGATCTACTTCATCTGAAGCGTCTATTTTTAACTTTATTTGAGGCGTTGAATTCAAACAGCTTTTCTTATTAACTCCTCAGATTGATGCGTGTGACTCATGCACGAGCCTCGGCGCGTCGGTCTCAAAATGAAGTGGTGTGGCCACCATTGTACGTTCAATATGTAACGGTTGTATGTATATTGAAAGTCGAAACGCTTCATTTGTCTTTTCTTGGTAATGTACAAAAATATCAAATCATTGGCACTTTTACCAAAAGCATGCTTCATTTTCAATTAAAACAAGGAGCCTCAACAGTTCAGTACCTCCCTATTTCGGCTCACCAAACAAATTTCAACTATTTCAATTAAAATAAAGAGCCTCAGCAGTTCAACACTTCCCTCTTTAACTCACCAAAAAAATTTCAGCTATTTCAATTAAACCAATGAACCCAATAGTTCAGCACTCCCATGCTCGACTCACCAAACAAATTTCAATTATTTCAATTAAAACAATTAGTATCAGCAGTTCAGCGCTTCCCTACTTTGGCTCACCAAACAAATTTCAGCTATTTTAATTAAAACAAGGAGGCTCGGCAGTTTGGCACTTTCTTACATCGACTCACCAAACAAATTTCAGTTATTTTTATAACGAGGAGTTTTAGCAATTCGACACTACATAAGGATAAGACGACATACAAGAATCAGGTTCAACTTCGAACTCCAATTATGATATCAATATCTATACTTGGACTTGGAAGACTATTGTGTTGTCAAAAACCTAACCATTACAGGAAAACTCGCTCTAAAGAAATTTCACTTAAGACAGAAGTCCACGCATGACATGAATAACCATACATGAATTTGGGGACTATTGTTACGCTTCGCCACCTAGCGTCCCACGCGGCCAATTCACCGAAGCCCTTTGCCGAAGTCACGTGACATCCTACGTAGAGTGCATAGAACTACCAAAGTCCACTAAATCTGGAGCACCGAAGTCCACTATCAGGGAAGCAGTTCCATGGGAATGGCCCTATCGAAGTCCATTACCAAAGTGGTGAGGCTCAACGAGGTGCAATTCGAAGCTTTGTCAAAGTGGTGAGGCGCAACGAAGTCAAATCCGAAGCTCTGTCGAAGCCCATTTACCGAAGTTGTGAGGTTCAACGAAGTCAAATCCGAAACTCTGTCGAGGCACCTATGCCGAAGTGGTGAGGCACCGAAGTGGTGAGGCGCAATGAAGTCGAATCCGAAGCTCTACCACGACAAGTAACAACCTACATTTGAAGATCATGAATTCATGAAATCTTATTGGAATGAATGATTTGACTCCTGTAACGAGTAATACTATAAATATTCCTCCATTTGTGTCATTTGGAAGTAATGCTAATACATCAACTATAAGCTATATATTCTCTCCTTTTGAGTTTGATCTTTTGTTGCTAAAATTAGATGTTTAATCTTGATCTTTAGTTTTATTTTTTGTTGATCGTTCGTTATTGTGCAATTTCACTCTTATATCTTGCCGTTGCCCGAACATTTTTATCTCGTGTTATCAAACTTCTCTCACGTTCAAATTCAAGATATTGTTGACTAGTAATCTATCTACACGTGTTGAAATAAGCTTGCGTGGACATGAGTGAGTCTGATATCTGTTATCCCGTCAACGGTACAAAAAATGAGATCAACATGCCTCGTCTTAGTAGTGATGTATTATGCTGGACTCCCCACCCCATCACTAACATGAACATTTTTAAATTTTAATATTTTTTATTAAAAAAATAGTTTAAGATATTCTAAAAAGACTGTTGGGCCCATTTCCTCATATATTAGACCCCGTATTTGGAACCCAAAAACTACACAAATAACCCAAAGGGGAAAACTTGAGGTGACAGATTTGGATTGGAACATCTAAATCTAAGTTGCTTCGCCTCCACAAATCGCCAATTATCCAATTTTTGCACTACGTTCTATTCTATCTACGCTTCACTCGTTCAGCCTATCTTTTCCTCATAAAATCTTATCGGAAAATAGCACAATGCTAACCAGCTTATTATCCTCTTCTTCCTCATACACTCTTGTTAGATTGATTAATTCAAAGACACCTATCTCAGATTTTTCTTTAAAAACTGCACCCCAATTGTCAAAATCAGTATCTCATTCAGTTTCTGGCGGTTCATACTCCAATTTTCACTCCAAGAACCCATTTTTGTCCAATAATAGTGTGAGGGAAAGGTTTAGGACAAAGGCCATTGCTGGGCTGGATTTTGGTGGGTTTGAGAGTGCTCAATCAGTTCTTGAAGCAGCTGGAGTTTTAACTGCTATCATTGTTGTACATGAAAGTGGTCATTTTTTGGCAGCTTATCTTCAGGGCATCCACGTGAGTAAATTTGCAGTTGGGTTTGGTCCGATCTTAGCAAAATTTAATGCAAACAATGTAGAGTATTCGATTAGAGCATTTCCTCTAGGTGGTTTTGTGGGTTTCCCTGATAATGATCCTGATAGTGATATTCCAGCGGATGATGTGAACTTACTGAAAAATAGACCAATATTTGATAGGGTTCTTGTTATTTCTGCTGGTGTAATTGCTAATATTATCTTTGCCTATGTTATAATCTACGCACAAGTGTTGTCTGTTGGATTGCCTGTTCAAGAGGCCTTTCCTGGGGTACTTGTGCCTGAGGTTAGGCCTTATTTGGCTGCTTCGCGGGATGGGGTACTGCCTGGTGATGTTATTTTATCTGTCAATGATATTGAATTGTCAAAAACAGGTCCTAATTTAGTTTCTGAAGTTGTTGATGTTATTAAGAGAAGTCCTGGAAGAAATATATTGTTTAAGATTGGAAGGGGACAGCAAAATGTTGAGATTTATGTCACCCCTGATGAGAATTCAGATGGAACTGGTAGGATAGGAGTTCAATTATCACCAAATATTAAGATTTCGAAGATTAAACCAAAGAATATTATGGAAGCTTTTAGTTACTCGGGACGTGAATTTTGGGGCTTGACGTCGAATGTCCTGGACAGTTTGAAACAGACATTCTTAAATTTCTCTCAATCTGCCAGTAAGGTTTCGGGTCCTGTTGCCATTATAGCCGTTGGTGCAGAAGTTGCTAAGTCAAACATTGATGGCCTTTTCCAATTTGCAGCTGTTTTAAATCTTAATCTTGCAGTAATAAATCTTCTTCCTCTGCCTGCTTTAGACGGGGGCTCGTTGGCATTGATCCTCATAGAAGCAGTAAGAGGTGGGAGAAAGCTTCCATTAGAATTAGAGCAGCAGATTATGTCATCTGGCATTATGCTTGTTTTAGTTCTCGGGGTGTTCCTTCTTGTTCGTGACACATTAAACCTTGAGTTCATCAAAGATTTATTATGATACACAGGTCTGCTTACTATGTGAATTGTAATCCGTTCTGAATATAGTTCCAGATATAAATTTGGACTTGGGTTGATTCTTCGAGATATCTCACCAAGGAGATGGAAGATGCCAGGGTCACTTGATGCTTTCGTTTCTTCTACGACATTGTATTCAGGTGCATTTGGCCTTTCAATATAATTCCGATAGGATTACATTGCTATGTATATTGCTTGTTACTCATGCTGTCCGAATTATAGCCTTAAACAAAATTATGAACATCATTGCATTTCTTTGCGATTATGAACCATTATATTGCGTTCTTATTCATCACAAGCTGGAGTTGAGCTCAAGGTATACCTTATTAATGGCTTTCAATTTTTGCAAATTAGTGAGTGTTACAGAATTGCTTCTCCACAGATTTCTCAATGAACGCCTCCTTATTGTTTGTGTTGAAGTTGAATCATGTATTTTCTATCTTTTGCTCTTGCTTTAAGAGCTTTCACTATAAATGTACTTGCATCATGAGATCATGTCAAAAGGGGCTCATGGGATTGTCAATAAATGCCCTCCGACCCATAAATTAGAAGGTGGGATAGAATGAGAGGAGAATAATGTCTAGAATAGATATTGTACATTATAGCTACCGGGTGTTTATATAAATAGATACTAGTTAGACTAAGACAACATCTAGGTTTTGTTAAGGAAATTTGAATTGGTTACCTTAGGAATCTTAAACTAATCTTTGGTTATAATAAACATAGTTTTGATTGCTAAAGATGATGTTGGGTGAGTTCTAGGACTTGATTAAATTTCGAAAGATATAGCATAGGGTCGGATTACTGTTGTTTAAATTTCATTGAGGCATACTTTAGAGTTGATTGTACTAATTCCTAGATACAAAATTCTAGACAGAAATTTTGTTTGCAATTATTAGCAAGGTTTTAGAAAATTTCTATTCTCATGCGACAATATTGCTTGAAATAGTGTAAGATGATTCGTGGGAGGGCAGTGCATCACACAGGTGTGAATAGTACTGGGCAGAACCAGAACCACGACTCTTTAACTAGAAAATCGTCAAATTTGCATACATCCTTACCAAGTCACATTGATGTGTATATGCATTGAAGAATTGGTTCTCTTTCTTTCATTGTATTAAGGAAAATTTACAATCGTCAAATAAGTTGTTTCAGTCTGATAAGTGATCCGTTCCGCAATCTCCCGCAGATTCTTCTCAGATTTTGTTCCCTCATCATTCAAAACAAATGATGATTTCAAGCAAAAACCAAAAATATATCGATAATAGGACACTTTCTCCAAAAATGCCAGCACCGATGGGTCATTCTATCAATCAAGCATCCTTAATTTTCTTGTTGTCGTCTTCTCCGTGGATTCAATATGCGTGATATCATAACTCAAGAAAACCTCTGCTTAAAGAAAGTCAAGAGATCCGAAAAAAATACATTGAATAGAGACTCAAGTGCTCCAATGGACAATGTTTGAACACCACTGCAAAGAGATTATGTAGATTCAAACTATAAAACAATCTTGATAGTTTATTGCATATTTTTATACAAAGAATGAAAAACTCACTACAATGGTGTGTACCGCGTTCTTCTGTAAAGAGTATTCTATAAACATGAAAAATATTCAACAATATTTATTGTAGAGAAAAGGGCTATGAAAATGTAAAAAAACATTCGATTGGTAGAATCGTATAAAAGGATAATTGTAAAGGAACAAAAAATATAGAAAAATGGAGGCAACATAGTATTTAGGAATTCAATGTTGTTGCCTCAACAATTAGCCAAAATATATAAAACTCGCATGCAATTGACAGCCAAACTATGAAAGGGTAGTTGCACACGACTATTTCATGAATTGAGTATCAGCTGCCATGTTATGTGTCATCTTGTGCTTGATTTTGCTAACCAAAATGTGGACTAAGTTTGACTGTTGAATTTGTAGGCTAAAATCAGATAATCAGAACCTAAATCTGACTTGCATAAAAACACTTGTGGCCGATGCCCGCAGCTTTCATGCACTACGACAACATTTGCCACAATCGAAGTTTTTCACCTTCCATCCCTGTCATCGGCACAATTTGCCTCGATATACAACTCGCACCGCATGACTTTTGTCCCTATCATCTTTTGTAAACATCGAAATTGTAGGCTAATCGGGGTTAAATACCAATCTATTAGAGTTTGCATTATTTTTTAATTAATTATTCTCAATCAATTATAAAATATTAAAGAGTAAATAAAGGAAAATGTTATGGCCGTTAAATAGGTAATCCTGGTCAACACAAAAGGCTAGAAGGGAGTCGTGCAGTCACCGATGATGAAAACGTTGCTAAAAATGGGGCAATAAGTCGTGATTAGCTGCCTTTAAAGTCGTTGACTCCAAGGAAAACTTTTAACATAAAGATCGCATTTTAGAGAAGGCGTCGTCACGAGGCAGTGCCGGGCCAAACGGGGCGGTGAAAATGCATCCAGAGGTATTCAATTAAAATTAGTCAGCTGCCCTTTTTCAATGTGGGTCCCTTTACCACCTACACCACATTTAGTGTGGACCCCATTTTTTGGCCATTTATCATTTTTCTATTTGTTAGGATTTGTTATTTGCCAAATTAATTTAATAAAGCTTTCACATTTGCATGTTTAGAATCTTGTGTTGTTTAATTTTATGGAGTATATTTGCTAATCGAACTTGGTTCTCCATTTGGCAATCAATTTTTAAATAATTTTTAATTTTTTTGAAAATAGAATAATATTACCTTCGATTCTTTATCTTTAAATCAACATGTTTAATTTTATTATTTTTAAATTTTAACTTTTTTGTGAATTTTAATTAATAACGTTCACATTATTCGATTAGTTATTGGTATTTGATATATTATTTCCAATAACATCCCATTACATGGCTTCTAAAGTTGGACTTTTCACACGAGCATATAGTAGTCCTCACTTATAATTTTATAAGTCATTATTTATTCGTAAAAGTTAAAAATAATTAATTACAGTTATGTAGTAATAATTAAGAGTAATGCATGCCCGTGCTCTTTTCCCATTTTGGCAAGTAGTCGACATACGATGATTTATTTATTGCTAAAACAAAAGCATCTTGCTTATTTCTATAATTTTCTTCTTTATTTTTCTAAAACTTCCTCTCCACGAGGAATTTCTCTTTTAACAATAAATATCTTTCTCGTAAAGTCATTGTTTGGCTATTTCATTAAAAGTAGTCATCGAGATACATTTCAAGATAAAAATTTAGTCATCAACGCAAAATCATCTGATCTAAAAGTTTAAACTATTAGATAACAAGATTTATTTTTTTCTATTAAACCCTTATACGTGCACAAATCACCTTATCAAATCACCTGACCAAAAAACTTAAACGTCATATACCCAAGAGTTATTTTAATAGATAACTATAATATGTGTAGAAGAAGAAAATATGACTATTTGTATTTGGTCTTCATTTTCTAGTCACGACTTCCCTTTTTAATGCCGAGTCATTTGCTCAATTAGAAGCCTTACCAGTTCCCACACCCCTTCTCTCGCTCTATCTGTTTCCTCTTCTTATATGGCCAATCCCACTCCACTCCATCACATCCCTTTCTCTACTCACCACCACCTCCGCCACCTTGAACCACCCACTTTGTCTCTATCGTCCATGGATCAATTCCCAGTGAACCTATTGACCTCCGATGAGAAAAGAAAGGTCATAAATGAAATGGATTTCTTCGCCGACAAAAAAAACGATGATGAGTCGAAAATAGGCACTGGCGATGAAGACGATGCCAACGGAAAAGATATGAGTGCACCCATAGAATTAGATTCCAATGTAAATGTAAGATTTTTTTAGTAATGTTTGTTTAGTATAATTAATCAGTTAGGTTTGTGTGCTTAAGAATTCTTGTTTTATGTATACAGACTGGTTTGCATCTTCTTACCGCCAACACTAGTAGTGATCAGTCCGTAGTAGATGACGGGATTTCTCCGAATTCAGAAGATAAAAGATCAAAAACTGAGGTGAGACTAATCGTATTTTTAATTCTGATATATGTACTGGATAGGATTAGACAATATAATATAATGACTTGCACTACATGTTACTGGATTTAGATGGTCGTCCTTCGAGCCGAAATGGAGAGAATGAACTCGGAAAATCGTTGTTTAAAGGATACGTTAAATCAAGTGAGGAACAACTATAACACTCTTCAGATGCATCTGATGACACTGATGCAACAACAAGAAAGAGATCATCTGAAAGCTCATGATGATAATGGTATAACAGAAGAACATGGTGGAAAACTACTGGATGGTAATAATAAGCAAAGTCAAAATGGTAACGGATTTGTGGTGCCTAGACAATTTATGGATCTTGGACTAGCAGCCGATATGGACGAGCCCTCGTTATCGTCATCCGAGGGACTGAGCTGCCGGAACCGATCACGATCACCTGTTAATATTATCAATGGTTTATCAAAAGAAATTGGGAGGGAGGAGATTTCTGATAAGGGGTCTCAAGGTTGGGGTCCTAACAAGGTTCCTAGACTCAACCACTCTTCGAAAAGCGTCGATGAAGCTGCTGAGGCTACTATGAGGAAGGCCCGAGTCTCAGTTAGGGCCAGATCAGAGGCTCCAATGGTATGCGATGGAATCTAGTATAGATATAACAACAAATTTAATCTTGTTCTCAATAAATATGGATTGATAATACGTTCGAAACATTTGGATGTTTTACAGATTTCAGATGGATGCCAATGGCGCAAGTACGGGCAGAAAATGGCGAAGGGAAACCCGTGTCCTCGAGCATATTATCGGTGCACCATGGCTGCTGGTTGTCCGGTTCGAAAACAAGTATGTATAAATTTTCATTAACTTTTGAACAACCAACATATTATAGTAATTTAATATCAATAAATGATCTACCAGTTCCATACAAAATCCACATCATTTTTAATATGCATCATTGCTTAAAAATAGAAGCAATTTTTACTTTGAAAAATTAGGTCATTAAGGTAGGTTTGTTACTTTGGAGTAGACAGACGACATGATTAAGATAGAGAAGTATGTGAAAAATTAGTGAATTACCTTGTCATTAGAGTAGATAAGATTTTGACTTTAATTTCGGCTTTAACATTGTTCCCCCAGGTACAAAGATGTGCAGAGGACAGAACCATCCTAATAACTACGTACGAAGGAAATCACAATCACCCATTGCCACCAGCAGCCATGGCAATGGCATCAACTACATCTTCAGCTGCAAGAATGCTACTCTCGGGTTCAATGCCAAGTGCCGATGGTCTAATCAACTCAAATTTCCTCGCCCGTACCCTCTTCCCTTGCTCCTCCAGCATGGCCACCATATCTGCCTCCGCGCCTTTTCCTACTGTTACATTGGATTTGACTCAAACACCAAATCCCTTACAATTCCCAAGATCTCAAACCCAATTCCAAATACCATTCGCTAATGCAGGCCACAGTCTTCCAAGCAATCCAGCCGCACTTCTACCTCAAATCTTTGGCCAGGCATTGTACAACCAATCCAAGTTTTCGGGTCTCCAAACGTCACAAGACATGGAAGGCGGCTACCAGGCCACGCCATCTCTCCCGGCCGCGATGCAACAAGGGCAGCAAAACCAACTTACTGATACAATGAATGCACTTGCAGCAGATCCAAATTTCACAGCTGCATTGACAGCTGCCATTACATCTATTATCGGGAATTCACATCCAAACGCCAATAATACTGCCACCAACGTCGTGGCTACCACCACCAGCAACAACGGCGGTAGCGTTACGACTAGCAACAATAATAGCAATGGAAACAATAAAGTCAGCAGTTCAAGCTTTCCAGTGAATTGAATATCAATAAGCACTATTTTCCACTTTGTTTTTTGGGTATTTTAAAGTATTATTCTCATTTTACTCCAATAGACTATTACAAAATGAAATTATACATGAAGTGAGTAATGTTTTGAGTTTTTAATAATGTAATTCAAACCGTCAATCAATGTAGAAAAATGTTGAAAAAAAAATGTGTTGCTTTTTGTAAGGAGCCGGAAATTTGTGGATAAATGTGTCTATTTTGTGTTATTGTTGGAATTATGGATTCTTATGCGAGTCAAGTAAAAAGTCTAAGGAGAAAGGGACAGAGATAGAAAGAAATTAAAGAAGTGTTGAAATATTCTTGGAGCATTCACTTGTATTTTTCCTAAGTGCTGATCGTATGGCAGCCAAGAAAGGAGTCAATAAAAACGTCTCAAAGTTGTTAGAAATTAAGTGGCTTGTTTGACACGGAATGACAACGAGAGAGAGAGAAGGAGAGGGTTGTCTTACTCGGTTTAAAGTCTATGACCCCACCGATTTCAGTTTCATGATGACATAGCTCTCTTAAAAATCAAGTCGTGAGTCGATTTACGAATTGGTATACCATCATGAGTAGGTTGTGATAGACTTGATTGTCTAGTTTCGACGTCTCATGAGGATTGGCTCGGCGTAAAATTATATAATTAGAGTTGTTGAGATCTCAACCCAACCAAGAGACTTTTATTTTGAGATTCTAATATATCATTCTTGTTTTCTAAAGAATTAGATTTTTCACTATAAATACTTATTTCTCTTCGAGGAATGAACTGACACGTTCATTATCCATA